GAGTCACCCATGGATAGCTACCTGGCTACCAGTACTCTCGATCTGGAAGACCTCCATCATCGAGCAGCTCCGACAACGTCGCTACGGTCTAGGACATCATCTTCACCAAAGTCGCCAAGGCGCCAGATTCAAATTTGATGAGAGTTATGCGGCTCAAATACTTATAACAAGGTAGCAAGTAACCCCTTAGTGAAGAAAAATCAGAAAGAAATCATAGGAAAGGCTCTATATAGAACCCCTTGCTTAACTGAGGTTGTACGTGCTCAAGGCGAAGAGAAGGTGCGGTCGCACGAGTTCTCACTTGTTGATATCAGCTGTTTTCCCTTATCACCTCACTCTCACCACTCGACGTGGAGAGAAGCAGCAGCGAAACAACCGCACCATCAGGTAACCATTAGAATGAGTGGAGGGCGGTGCCAATGATTGTAGGTTGGGCCAATGAGAAGAACGACGGCATCGTGGGCCTCCTCACTCGTTTTTGCGCCGCGAAAGTGGTGTAGTTGTTGCCTCTGCGGACCTGACTACCTGCTCACGAAGGGAGAGGAAAATCTCAACTGAACGCGGACGCTGCCTTTAATAGGCACCTGGTGATTTGGTACATTTGTCATCTTGTCTTGTATAGGACAAGAACATCAAGAACATTATTACAGTTGATCACATCGTGATCGCACTAAATGCAGCCCGAGGAAGTGAACTGCGAACGAAGTTGAAGCGCGTGCCACGCGTACCGCATCCCAGGGATTCGGAGTGCAAATAATGGGTTGTGTGTAGTAGGAAGGATTCTGGATAACATTAGGAACGCGTTAACATGATCAAAATGTCGCCGCAGTTCCACACCGTTGTATGGATTGGGGACATTGCCAGCAAATTTGAATTTGTGTGCATCTTGAGGGCGCGTCCGTCTTTTTGTCAAAGGAGACACCTTTTGGAGGACCGGAACCAGGGTGTAGCTAAAACGCTCTTCCCAATAACAGCCAGTACTCCAGTCCGCTGATAGAGATCAACATGAAAAATTTAACAGAATGGAAGATGATAGGGTCTGTCCACATACTGACAGCGTTTGGGCTGTGTTGTTATGTTCTTTTGCTGTATTGTCTACGCAATCTAGGAAATTGTTAAAAAAATCCATTAAGAAAAAGAGTAAAAGAAGCTTAGCGTAATGCTTTCTTAGTGGACTGTCTTTGCAATTTCCTGAGACAGCCAGTACTCCAGTTCCGCTGATAGAGCAACAGAACTTATCAACACAGCCCAAACCTTGTCATTATATGGACAGTCTCTATCATATTCCATTTCTGAACAGCTTTCTGTGAACCTGCTGTATCCAAAAATTCACAAACCAGAAGCACAGATGACCGGTAAACGGGTGATAGCAGGGACATCAAGGTATCCATCGATTCCCATTACCACAGTTGTTCTTGGCTTATCCGCACACATGTTTTTCGGGTAACCTTTTGTCCAGAATTCGGAAGGAACCTCCTGAAAAAGAAATTTTGGAATCATTGGGAAATGACCTGCATGACTCCAACCGCTTTTCTGTGGCTTAGAATTTGAAGTGAACTTCGAGGATCAAAGTATCCAGGGCGCGCCATTGTTGTGATAATCAAAACAGGGGTGTCGCATTTGATCTCGAGGGAGAGGGGGGGGGGGTCGTAAGCGAGGGCCCTTTCTGAAGTTTGAGTTGAGTGACACTCAGATGTCGTTGAGCTTCAATGATGGAAGACTTATTCATGTGAAGAACACCTGAAGAGACACCTGAAGACAGAAGCACTGCCCGGAGCTGAAGTGGGGAACGGGCGACGACAGGGGGTGCGATGGGCGTTCATAACGACGTGATCAATCAAGACAGATAGAAGTACACTTCCGGGCTTCTCTGATCGCAAGAGCACATCTGCTTGCACGGAGGAAGTCCTTACTGAAAGCTGCGCCCTCCTACCTCTGCGTGAGAGTCCTATGCGTAGCGCATGACAGAGGTGACTTCCGAATGAACTATCTACTGATACCGTGACGAGAACATGTGTTTGGAGAAGTATACCATTGTATATCATTGTATAGGCCATATCGCATTCAATAAGCCACCACTATTCTGAATGGAAGTGGAGTGCGTGCCGCATCCCACGACTGATCAATGGCGAAGGACTTTTCCTTTTTTTTACCAAGGTTCTTGTCGAAGAAACTGGAACCGGGGAGGGCGTCGGAGGGATATTTTTTTGGTGTCGTCCGGAAAAAGGTCGCGACCACATCGCAACGGGGAAATTTTTCGAGTACCGGCACAGGGATAAAATGAAAACCTTGTTAGAAAGTAGAAATCCTTGAAATTCCGGCACTGTTTTTCTGTTTTACAAACGGCCTTGTATGAAGATTGTTGCTGTTCATAGAGTCAAAACTTGTAAGTGACCTCTAAATGTCACAACCAAATCACAACGGAAAGAGCTTTTTGAAAAGAAGTTTTTTTTCAATTGCTCAGACTAAATTGATAGGGGTCAACTTACAACTTTGTTAGTGCTCCACAGCCCCACTTTCCCCTCTTCAATCTACTCTCAAGAAAGTTATCTCAAGGGAGGTGTTCAGCAAAGGGCCATTACCGAGTGTTTGGCTTGGGACCTGGGTTCGGATCGCGAAATAGTTCGCCCAGCGCCACAGCACAAAGCGCGCTCTAACTCCACGCTCAACTTCGAATGGCCGCGAACACTTAATATTCAAGCGCTGGCACTTGCATTTTTTTTCTACATTTTCTAATTTCTATCTATTTATGCTTCATTATAAATTATTATTTTAGTTCATTTATTCATGATTAAATATTAAGACTCATTTTTTATCCTTGATAAATGTGCGAGATTTTGCGTCTTTTTGTGTTTATTTTCGCAGATCTTCCATTTTTTCGGTGCTTGTACGTCCTTGCCAGTCACTAAAGAAATTGCTTGAACCGCGTAGGGGAAGCATACGGAAGAAAGCAAGCACGCAGTTCAGCTAATTCATGGCCTCTCTATACGGAGAGAGCGGAGTGCAAACCCTCAAAATCCTGCTTCCTTTTTAAAGACTTTTAGGACCCAGGAATATCTCCATGACAAGCGCAGACGATAGCTGAATCAACAGCCACCTCATAGTTATTGATTTCCTTCATCGCGCAAAAGCGAGCGCGATTCCGACACAGATTCATGCAAGATATTGAATGGCCAGAAATAGATATTGCAGAGGGTGTCGAACTATTTACGCAGAAAGAAGAGATTCAGAACGCTACAAACCACTGATCTGTTGACTTCATCGGCATGAAAAAACAATCTCCCATAAGCCTTGGGGTCCGCCTGAGGTTTACATTCTTCGCTTGGTTTGTCTCTGCTTCTGGGATTGCGCCTGGCGGGTACTCGCACTGGGACTTCCGGAGAGAGCTGAAATAACGTTTTATGTCACTATGAACAAATAGCACTTCTGAAACCAAAATCTGAGTCAGTAGAGATTTAGTTGTGACTCAGTTCATATACTCATACATCTAATTCGCTATCAGTGATTCTTCACAAACTGTGAAATCCAACGCGGACCTTGCGAACTATTTCCCGAAATTCAGCTTCATTATCAAAGTCTTCACTTGAAACTGCATAACCGTGTGAGAAAACCTTGAAATGAAAATTAGAGCACCTATCCGGAGGGTCATTAAGGAAGTTCCGTTGAAAATTCAAGGATCATTAGGTCTCGACAGAGAGGTCGGTAACATTAGTATCTGCCAATGAACTCACGTCACAAAACTTGTTCAAGTCAGTAACATTTGCATCAAATTCGCTACCCTCCACTGCATGAACTGTCCCAAATGAGTAATATGTACGTTTATAACCATCTTTCTCCGTAGCAGTCAGATATCGCACTCCTAGCATGTCTAGTACATTACCTTGCTCTTTCTCTGCATCCTTTAAAGCTGAAATAGGTGTTCATCATGATCTTGTTCAGATTCACAATGCTTTCCGATGTATGGAGTAGCGTCAGTTTGCAGGAACATTTTGTTTCACTATTAGCTAGCATCACATCGATATTTTAACACAGCGCTCGCGATCGCCTTTTGCAGGTTGTAGAGCTCAGGACCTTCATATCATATTGTAATTACCATTCCAACGAAGAGAAAAGCAAAAGAAACCGCTGAAAATGCCCTAGAAAGTTGCTGATAGCAACAAAAAGCTGACTCGACCCTCTGAAAAAGAGTCAGCTCATCGTTGCTGAGCTGTCACACTTTTATCAAGCGCTTTTGAGCTGCGGAAAAGGGATATACTTTGCGACTGCCATCGTGTTCCATGAATGGTTCCTGCACCTTGGTTGATCGCGGGCGCTGTCTGTGAAGGAAATGTACGCAGTGGAATGTGCTGTTTGTTTGGTTTTATTTAGACCAGTCGGATCACCCGGGCTCCTCCTTCTGTTTCACAGCCCGGCTTCGCCGTGTCGACCTTGCTTCACCAAGTACCCTTATCTTGGGCGAGGTAGAATGCGCTAAATGTGCCAAACAGTTATTAAATGCAGTTATTTTTTATGTTAAAACGTAGGGAATTGAGTTGAAAATTGCTCAACATCAGTCATTATCTACCAACATCTGGTCCTTGTTGCTTACTACAGACTTTCAATAAGCACCACAGTTGCGACATCAGAATGGGTGAAGATGAATTAGTCCAGATGAGAAAGTAACACCCGGAAGAGGCATAACTACAGAGTCATGGGTGGCACTGAAAAGAAATATTCACATTGCCTGGACCTATCAAAGTGGTGTCGCACGGAAAGCTCGAATGTTACCACCAACAGGAAGTCCCCACTCCCAATTTGTGGGTTCTTTACTTATTTATTCTGCTTCGCTGCAGCCGCCACCTCCAACACATCAAAAGTCACATAGGAAGCGGTTTTGGAAAATTTTTTTGATTGATGGATTTCTCTATTTTCCCATTTCAGCCGCGCTATATACTTCCCCCCCCCTCTCGGCCGCTCAACACCATTGCATGCATCTGCGAGCAAATACTTCAGTGGACGACCTTCATTCTGTTGCTTCCAAAGGGAAGGGGTACACACTTAACTTCTAGCAGTCGGCATAATAAGGTAAGATGTGATAAAAATGCAGCGCAGATTGTATCATATCTGCTTTTATCGGTTGATAAGCTCACCTGTCGCCCGTCATCAGTGTCCTCACCACTGAATCTTTATCATTTGAAAGCGCGACGACGAACTGCAACGTTCCTTATCACTCTCAGCAGTTATCGCTTCGTCTCCCGGGGTTGATGTGCCTATCTCTTCCTGTACATCACTTGCTGGAATGCACGCCTGCTGATGCTGTGACGTGGGCTGTGAATACGGTGACCTCACAAAGACAGCTCCCGCGATCGACTTCTGCGTGCTCTTGGGCCGCGAATAAGGTATATCCTCTGTGACCGAAGGCTCCGCCACTGCGTACTCTAAAGCTGCATACCGTGCGATGACGTCGACGTAACCGACGTAACCGACGAAACCGACGTTTTTGACGACTGCTTCACGAATACGAAATATGCACTGACGATGTAACCGACGAAACCGACGTTTTGACGACTACTTCACGAAAATTCGATATCGAGTGATGTGGCAATGCCCAACTAGAAGCACGTGTGCCTCGATAGGAACTCCAAGCGATGAATAACTATAACCGAGATGTTTCTAATACTCTTATTCTTATTCTTTCTTCCTTTCTCAGATTCGTCGTACTTCCTTCATACCAATCCGCGGTGTCATTCACGTATACAGGGTGACCAAAAAGTTCTGGCAATTTTTCGGAATACTTCGGTAGCATAAAAAATACCGTTCGAAAAAGGAAATCAGCCAACTAAACGTCTGGGAGTCTTCATCTAATCAGTACCAATGACCGTATACAACAAAGTTCCAACAAGTGTTCAAAAATGCCTCCTTCAGCCTCAACACATTTACGTAGTCGTTTTCCAAAGTGTCCGACAATGGTCGCGCATTCTTCTGCTGTAGTTTGGTCCCAAACACGCAGCAACGCCACTTTCAGGTGGTAAACCGTTGCGCATCGAATTCCTGAGATTTTTCGACCCAGATGGAATAATCCATGGGGTTCGGACCATGCTAGTTGGGAGGCCAAACGTCCTTGCCCCAAAATCGGGAAACAGCTCTTCACAAGCGGCAGTTCGTGGGTTTGGCAGGATGTGCTGGCTCCCAGTCTTGCTGAAGCACGTGTC